TGTTCTGGAATGTTCGGGAATGAAACGGTATGTTTTGGCATGTTTCGGGCATTTTATGGAAGATACGGAATTATGGGGCAACCATTGAAGAAGAACCCTCTCTAAGAAGAACCCCAAGAGAGCTTAAGACCAAAGTGTCCTAAGCACCCTAGACGTGGGATAGTTGCCCAAATAATCACAATACTTCCTACTATAGAAACCCTACATTCTACTATATGCATAAATACTTAAGACCCTTTAAAGTTGGGACTTCTAAGACTTGGGGGGTTCTATAGAAGCCTTACTTTCTGCTATAAATATAGGTACTTAGAACGAGTCTTTGGCTACCGAAGAAAGCCGTAAAACCCTAAACCCTAAACCCCTAAACCCTAAACCCCCAAACCCTAAAACCCTAAACTCCTAAACCCTAAACTCTCAACCGTGGGTACTTATGAAAGGCTCGGCCCAGAGACCAGTCACAGAAAGGCGCGACCTCCAGGGTCATGGCACCCGGAGTAACACCTCCAGGGGTTCGAGGATTGCTGGGGCTTGGGTTTGGTTCAGGGTTTAGGGCTTATAAGTTTATAGGGTTTCGGGTTTATGTTTAGGCTTTAGGTTTAGGGTTTCGGTTTAGGTTTTAGGTTAGGGTTTAGGGTTTAGGGGTTTAGGGTTTACGGTTTAGGTTTGGGGGCATTATTTGAGGGCGTCAGGGATTGGCATTAAGACTCCGACATGTCAAGGTGTTAATCTTCACACCCTCAGTCGTGAGCGTTTCATCTTATTTTACATTCAGTCTAGAGAGTTAGGGTTTAGGGTTTAGGGTTAGCGTTTCGTCCTACTTTACATTCAGCCTAGAGTACACAAGCTGCAACACAAGTGACAAGGCAAACCTGATGTAAGGCTTGAATCGAAACCTCACACCCAAGCTTGCGACTGCGACCAAACACTGGGGTTCAGGGGTTTAGGGTTTAGGGACTTAGGGTTTCGCACCCAGAATTCCACGAATACCCACATAAATAGCAAAACAGCCTCAAGTTCCGCTTGCCCTACCCGCAACCCAACAGACCTAGTTATCTTTCCAGTGTCCCATACCATGAACCCCTTGAGACAAACTCTTACAGGGGAAGGTCGTCTTGGGTCACAGGAAAACCTATACTAAACCTTAAACCCTAAACACTAAACCCCATAAACCCTACGCCCTATAAACCCTAAACCCTATAAACCCTATAAACCCTATAAACCCTATAATCCCTATAACTATAAGCTCTATAAGCCCTATAAACCCTAAACCCTATAAACCCTATCAACCCTATAAGCCCTAAACACACCAAAAACCCTAAACCCTCTAAACGCTAAACCCTATAAACTCTATAAACCCTTTGAACCCTACGCCCTATAAACCCTATAAACCCTCAACCAACCCTAAACAACTAAAATTCACGCGGCCTTCGGGCAGATGGGTGAGCATGGCGTCGTGGATGTAGAGCTCGAGCCTCGGCGGCTTGGGGTTGCAAATGAAGAAACAAAAATTAACAACAGTAAGAGTAAGAGCAATAGTCATATAATAACAATAATCAGAACAACAATAATAATAACAATAATAACAACAAGAATCATAGTAATGATAATAATAACGGTAATCATAGCAATCATAGGGTCTACTGTGTCTGTGAACTTAGCTTCTGCCTAGTTTGGCGGGGGGTGATCCATGGGGGGGGAGGGGGGGCATTCTGGCTCTCAGTCCTCTTAGAGCCGCCTCCCACTCGAGTTGAGTTTTGCGCTTATACGGGTTGTATAAGCTCTCCTGGCTTAGGGTTCCCAAAGGGTCCTAAGTACCTTTATGGTAGAATGTAGGGTTTCTATATTAGGAATTCCCAGTATGATTTGGGGAAGCATTCCCTATAACAGTACCTAGGACCTTTCTGGGGTAGATAAGGTTTAGGGTTAAGGTTTAGAGTTTAGGGTCTAGTATCAGGGCCATGTAATCTAGGGTTGAGGGGTGTGCTGAACGGCTCTGGGGATTCGGCAAGCAGATTGTACAGAATCGGTATGAGTAGCACACCCCATCTCGGAACTTATAGCCCCAACTATCACCCGTTTGATAATTGTATCCCCTGATCGCGTAACCAAATCCAACACCCACTCGAACTCCGAAGTGACAGCCCTTCCTCAAGGCACCCGGCTGTGAACATCTTCCAGCAGCAGCCACTGCCTTCAGGGTTTTGGGAGTGAGAGTTCCGGGTTTGGGACGTACTGTCAGGGGCCCTGATAATTAGAATGGGATTTTTGAGATATATCATTAATTAAACTGTACTTATAACAAGGAGCACCCCCCCCCAAAAAAAAAAAAAAAATGCTAATTGGAAATTATTAACGCCCCAATCTTGCAGCGACCGCCCTGAAGGTGCATTGAGCCGCCGCCCACAAGCCCTAACCCTAAACCCTTAAGCGAGTGATAAATAGAAGGCGCTGGGTTGCTCAGAAGAATATAAGGCAGGGCAGGGCAGGGCAGGGCAGGGCAGGGCAGGGCAGGGCAGGGGCAGGGCACAGGGGCAGGACACAGGGTAGGGCAGGGCAAGGGCAGGCCAGGGCCAAAAAGCAAAAAAAAAAAACTCGCTCAAAAGTCGCTCGAAACCCGCTCAAAACCCACCCGAAACCCGCCAAAACTCCGCACCCGAACCCTATACACCTTCTATAAACCCGCAAATGTGCTACAAATCAGGGTGCATCTGAACCCTTCAAACCCTTCAGATGCTCCCACCCGGTCCTCCAGCACTTCACCAACTCTTGCGCAGTCGAAGTCGCCTTGAAAAGCCTCCTGCGGCGAATCGGGGTGTAAGGTTTAGCCTACATGGCCCGCACGAAACCCTAAATCTCGATTCAAAGGCCCATATCATGACTGATAGTTACCCCACAAGCCCTAAGACTCAAAATGCCCCAAAACCCAAAAAAGAGGCCCTCCAACCGCAAGCACCCTGAATCCCTAAACCAAGGCCCTAAAACCTCAAGTAGCCTAAAACCCCGAGCCCACGGCCCCTCAACACAGAAAATGCTTTCGCCGCGAGCCGAACCAGAAGGTTTGAAACGGTTTGGAGTACGTACATGTCTTAGGTGGTGGCTGTTTGGAAGGTCTCAGAAGGTGGGATTCAGATTAGGGCCCTTTTTCAGATTAGGGTTTAGGGCCTAGGGTTTAGTTAAGGACCCCTTATCTAATAGTGCGCCCTTATTATAATTTAAGGGGTTACCATACCTACCTCCATCCACCTTTCCAGCCCTCTGAGGTTTGGAGTCGAGGGGTTCCCGGCTGTTCGGGTTCAGGAGTTGTGGGGTTTCGGGTTCAGGGGTTTAGGGTTCAGGGTCTAGGGTTCAGGGGTTCAGGGGTTCAGGGATTTAGGGCTTAGGGTTCAGGGATCAGGGGTATACGGTTTGGGGGTTTAGGGTTGAAGGAGCTTTCCGATGGTTGGCTATTCGCCAGGACAGGATGCCGGATACCCTATAGCCTATACCCTGAGCCCTGAAAGCCTACACCCTGCAGCGGTTTAGGGTTTAAGGTTTTAGGGCTCAGGGCTTTAGGGCTTTAGGGCTTTAGGGCTTTACGCTTTAGGGTTCAGGTTTTGGGATTTAGGGTTTAAGTCGCGAAACTTGTGCAAGCGGGCAGTTCTAGTATCAGTCCTCCTGCATCTCCAATTCCTGGCAAAGCGCGCTACACGCTGAACTCAGCACCCTAAACTTAAACCCTAAACCCTCAGCTTAAACCCTAAACCTTAAGCCCTAAACCTCACTGAACTCAACAGAGGGCTTCTGGGATCAGGGCTTCGGGTTTAGGGCTTTAGGGAAAGGGCCATGGGTTAGAGGCTTAAGGCTTTAGGGAAAGGGCTAAGGGTTGACGGTTTAGGGCTTTGAGGCTTTGAGGATTCGGGTTCAGGGCTCGGGGGGTTTGGGTTCAAAGTTTACTTACATCGGGGTTTTCGGCCTCGAAGAGTACAGTTAGCCAAGCTTACCCTAAGGCTCATGGGCCCTCNNNGAACCCAGGGTCCTAACTAGGAGGTACCGGGCCCTGTTTAGGAGGTTCCTTAGAGCCTTAAGGTAAGCAGATTCACTTTCTGAAAGGAGCTTGCAGAAGCGGCAGAGCTGTAGGCTTCGGATCCCGGGGCTCTGGGTTTCAGACGGTTTAGGGTTTAGGGCTTTAGAGGGTTTAAGTTAGGGTTCAGGGTTAAGGGTTGTTAAGGGTTTGGGGTTAAGGGTTTAGTGTTAAGGGTTTAGGGTTAAGAGTTAAGGGTTTAGGGTTAAGGGTTTGGGGTAGGGTTACTTTGTTTTTGATATGGAGTGTAGCTGACAATCTCAGACATTACATCAACACCCGAAAAGGTAGCAATGGGGCAGCAAATCCCTAAACCCTAAACCCAAAAAGTAGCACCAGGAAATGAGATCGGAGTTAGGGCTCAGGAGCAGCAAATCAGACGAGTCAGGATTTGAGAATCTCTAGGTGTCCATGTACCCAAACACAACAGGCTTCAGGGTTCCCTTTCGGGTTCCTTTGAGGGTTCCCTTAAGGGTTGCTACAGGGTTTAGGGTCTAAGGGTCCATGTAACTTTGGCCCCAAAGTACCTATATAGGGACTAATTTAGGGCCAAAGTATATCCTACCGTTGATGATATACATCCTGCATTACCTTTTAAGGACCCTAAACTACGGGAGTTATGGTATATTCCTCATTATGGGCAATGCAGGATTTATATCATCAACCGTATTTGGGTACATGGACCCATAGGGAATGGACTTTAGGGAAGTCCTCCTCGATTAACATGGGAGTGAGGACGCCGGACGCCTCACTCATGCACCCTAAACCCTAAACCCATACACCCTGAACCCTCAGGCCAAAGACTGCCCGACAACCCTGGAAGAACCCGAGTAAGCACCCCATAACTAAACCCAACCCCGCTGATACCTGGACGTTTATGACCGACAAAAAATCAGCCGCAGCATAGAAGCGCTCTAGATTCTAGAGAGAAAATACAAGTCTTGGACAAACTAATGGTAACTTATTTCATACAACAACCCCTAAACCTTAAACCCTGGATGCACAAACCGTAAACTCCGAAAATCCAAATAACCCTGAACCCTATGAACCCTAAGGTTCTAATTTACTGATATCCCACACCCTAAACTCCAAAATCCACCAAACCCTAAACCCAAAACTCC